TTTGCGAACCATGGATGCTCAATTTAAATGTATGAAGGAAGCTGTTTTCGGTTTAAAAAGCAATTAAAACAGTTTTAATTCTTCAAAAACTGGACCCTGGGGCTTTACAATCTCTTGTTTCTAACGTCCTTCGGTCTCGTCACACATTCTTCAAAAAGGGCTCAAAAGAAGTTCTTTACAAAGCCACTTTATAGTAACGACATTCATGGTCATCACAAAATGTGTTCTTTCATTTGGTATTACCATCTTCAGATTACGACCTTTACTTTACAGAAAACTGTATCACTGCAACAAAAGACACTGGCATTTTATGCGGAACAATTCATAAAATTCATAAAAGTCGCAATCTGGGGCAGGTTTTCTTTGTCAAATTCAATTATGTATGTTGTACCTGTGGAACGTAGGGTATTAAAAGTAGTAAAGGGTTGGTGTTACGTTGATTTGCAAAACCTTACCCTCTTAACAACATGGTGTGTGTGTAGTGTGTCGTGTGTGTGTGTGGTGTGTGTGTTGTGTGTGTGCTTGTGTGTGTGGGTGTGTGTGGTGTGTCGTGTGTGCGTGTGACGGTTGTGTGTTGTGTGTGTGTGTGTGTGTGTGTGTGTGTGTGTGTGTGTGTGTGGTGTTGTGTGACTGTATAAAGTTCTAGCCAAACTGTCCAGTGAAGGCAAAAATGTAATTTTAGCCAAATACAAGTCAATGATTTGTGATATAATGTAATTTGTGGGTAAAGCTGCGTGTGATTGCGTGATTGTGTGTGTGCTGTGGTGTGTGTGTGTGTGTGTGTGTGTGTGTGTGTGTTGTGCCAAATTGATTCTTATTCTTTGTGGTGGAAGAAATATGCTTATAAACAAAGGGGAAAACACGAATACAAAGGCTTTTTTTCTTGCACCAAAGCTGGCATTTCTGACCATTTATTAGATCATGCCGTTATTCAAACTAACTGCAGACATTTCCCCAGGTTCCAGATTATTATTTTATTTTTAAAATGTTCCTCTCTCTTTTCCCTTCTTAACAAAGCCACAATGAGTGCATATATACCTATATATATATATAGATATATAATAGTAATATTATATAATATGAAAGCAGTACATATTCAGTTAATACATATATGTGCATGCATGGTTTCCTCTATCAGAGCAGGCATGTTTATGTGCAGTGGAATATCATACATATATTCAGTTAATGTATTTGTGTGCATGCGTTATGCTTTATTACAGTGTGTCAGTAGGTATGCACGCAGGATGCATGTTTATGTGTAGTGGAATGAAGGGGGCTATATATATTTCTAAATCATGTTGCATGGCATGGCAAGGACAGCGAGTCACCACATATAACATATTTGCAATGGTGGAGGAGGCCGTGACACCAGCACGTACTCACATGACCGGAACATTCTGAACACAAACACGTCTGTCTGCAAGATTTATACTGAGTGCAATCCAATGAGTCGTCTTTATGTGTGTGTGTGTGTGTGTGTGTGTGTGTGTGTGTGTGTGTGTGTGTGTGTGTGTGTGTGTGTGTGTGTGTGTGTGTGTGTGTGTGTGTGCGTGTGTGTCCGTCCGTGATTCTTTCATTTAATTTTGGTGGACTTGACCTATTGCATTATTGTAATTGTGTTAGCCTAATGCAATAACTTATGTGCCGTCCTGTATCAGATTTAGCTTTTTGTCCGCAAGCAAATCCAATGGCATATGTGGTGTTGTGCGTGTGTGTGTGCGTGCGTGCGTGCGTGCGTGTGCGTGTGTGTGTGTGTGCGTGCGTGCGTGTATGCGTGCGTGTGAGTTGTGCGTGTGAGTGTGTGTGTGTGTGTGTGTGTGCGTGCGTGCGTGCGTGTGTGTATGTGTGTGTGTGTGTGTGTGTGCGTATTGTGTTTTGCAAATATCATGACGTGCCAAACATTTAAATGTAGATGTTCCATTGTGACGGTCCTCCCAGGTTAGCAGGGTATGTTTTTGTGTGTTTGTAAGTAGAAATGGGCACTTCACTTTTTACAATCATCCCTCTATTTTAAACGTTGGCGGCACATTTCCACAGCAACCCTCCCACTCTTTAGAAAGGCGCCTTTCTGACCTTTAGGACTTTTAAAGACGGTATGAATCAGGCCTTGCACGCAGATTTGGAGCACCAGCAAAGCTGTAAGGCAGTAGTCAAACAAAAAGCTGTCATTTTCGTGCAGATCAATTGTGCAAATATGTCATGCAAGTTGCCTACTATTAAAAAATATCAATCTCCTCATATATCATGTTTTGATATGTCTGTCACCTAGTGTTTGCTGCTAGTTGTTTTTAGTTCTAGAACATATTTTAAAGAGACTGTAGAGACAGAGTAAATGGTCTGCAAAGGCTGATATCCCAAAGTTACCTCCAGAGGATGTTTCTCTCTCACACGTTCCCCCCCCCCCTGCCTCCATTGGACTCCTTTTCTTTACCTCATAGCACATTTGAAATTAAAGCATGAAAACATCCGTTGGACGAACACAATCTGAATATGAACCATT